GCACGATATCAATCCTTCCTACTTCGGGTCGGGTATTTCATGCACTCAACCAACACCTTCCTCAGAACGCCGACCAACCGAGCACTCTGTTCCCTGCAGTTCATTTTGGAAAGCACATATATGCATATATGCCTTCGTATATATATATATCCTTGATAATAGTGAGCTTAGCGACCCAAAAGGATACATTTACTACGTTCTTTTGTTCTGTTTTGTTTTGTTTTGTTTTCTAAGGGGGTGGGAAAAGCAATTAATCAATTTTTTAGCGTTTATATATATATATATGTATATATATATAATTCCGTGCTGGGAAATGGAAAGCAAAGGGGTCCCATAAACCCCCAGCATTCCATAATGTGGCCCCAGAGCTCGCGCTGTGGTGCATTACGGAGCCGTCGGGTCCCCCCGAGAAGAGATACGCTGTTAATTGGGAATTCGCTCATTAAGAAAAATGCTGGGAAATCGTTTTTGCCGGGAGCTTTTCCACGGAAAGCCTAACCCGCCTCTCTGCAAAGAGGGGAGAAGCGAGCGGGGAGCCGCGGCTGTTTGCAACGGGGATTCTTCTCGTTGTTTACGAACACCAGTCCTGAAACTCCTCTCTTTGGGCTCTGCAGGGGGAGGTTTGCAGCGGAGCTGAGATTTATTATAGAGGCAAGGTTAAGAACGCAGGAGGTTCCCCTCGGACGCAGCCCCGTCGGCCTTTCCCTGCCAGGCGCACCCCAAGCGTGCTGCCCTTTGCACGGAGCTCCGCATCCTACGCTTGAAATGAAATGATCCCAGTGGTCGCTTTATCCCCCGGAACCCAGAGGGATGCTCCGAGCTGCGGGGCTGGATTTGCAGGTGGATCCCTGAGCAGCGAAGGGCAGGACCGTACGGGCAGGGAGCAAAGGGACAAAGGGACAAAAGCCCTTTTGCTGCCCCAGGGACCTTCTCACAATCCGAAAGCCGCAGCTTTGGGTTTCCCCAGCGTACTCTGAGTGCTCCCCCTGCCCTCAGCATCCTTTGCTGGGAGCTGCTCTGCTCTCCGTCTCCCTACGGGAATCGGCCTCATCCCTCGTGGGTCGCTTTGCCGTGTGTCCCCGCGGACCCCCGTGCCCCTATCGGGCCGCCTTACACGACAGGTGACACTGCAGAAAAGGGTTGGCAGCCCCGACCCTTCAACCCCGCGGCGGGTGAGAGGCGGCGATTTACAGACGGGGTTCAACGTGGATTTCATTTCACATCCCGATGCTGGGGAGCGTTTGGTGTCGGGCTGTCACCTCCTGTACCCTCAGGGCAGGGTGATGCTTCACAAAACACCTTTCTCCCTCCGAGGATCCCACACCAGGGAGAGCACCGTAGGGTCCCCCCGGGGCTCCATGCCATTTTCCATATAGGAATCCCGAAGTCCCGGGTGCTGGCAGGGGACAGCAGCCCCATACCTTCCCTCCTTCGTATTCGTTCCGTTGTAACTTCCCGCAGCTCCCAGTGAGGATTTTGTACGCAACCCCGAACCGACGGTGCCCGATGGCCCTCGTTCCGAGTGCCACGCTGCGGTTCGAAGGGCGAATTTCGACGGGGATTTTAGTTTTGGGTTGGAGGGGAAGAAAAAAGAAAGAGAATAGAAAACAAAACCCAACGAATGGAGATCAGTAATGCAGGGATCCAGGCGGGGTGCGGACGCAGGGAAGCCCCTCGCTGTCCCCGTTTCGCTTCAGGGCACGTCGGGGAAATTGAGGTGATTCCCAGCCCTCAAAAAGGCTCGGAGGAGCGAAATGTTTTGCAGGCACCGAAGTTCCCGTGTTAGCTCTCACCCACCGGAATGTGAGGCTAAAAAACGTTGGGAATAGCGATGATTATTATTTTTTAATTATTATTTTGTTTTAATGCGTGGCACAGAGCTCTCTGAGAAGAAGCTGGGAGAAGCTGGGTGCCTTTTCGGGGATTCGGCTCTTCTTAAGCCACGGTCCCCGGGAGTACCGCCTCGATTCTGCCCCGGGACTCGGGCCGAGCTGGGGAAGTGCAGGAACGGAGCGGGGAAATCCCCGTCTCTCTTCTTTAAAGACCCACGCTAAGCTCCCATCTCCTCTCCCGAGCCCCAATTCTGCTCCTATTGGGGTCGCTGAAGGGAAACCCCGCAGGGAAACCATGTCGGAGAAAGCCCCGACGCCCCAAATCCATTTCTATGCGGATCTGCGCTTCGCCTTTCGGATCAATTCTTTTATCGGGGACGGCCGAGAGCATCGCACATTGCTCTCCGGCTCAGCTCCATTGCTTCTCCCGATATTCCCTCTCCCACAGCATCCCTCCGGGAAAAGCATCTCAGCTCCCCGTCCCCTAGCAGGGAAATAAACACCGGCAGATATAGAAAAGGATCTCTGGGGTGTAAATGGGCAGAGGTGGGGGGTGCTGGGCGCTGGGACGGCGCGGGGAGCGGCTCCGTCAAAGAGCTCCGAACAAATCCTGCGCTGATGAGGGCTGCGCATTCCTGCGCTGCAACGTTTCACCGGAGGACGTCATGGAAAATATGGGCTTTTATATATATATATTTTTTTGGGGGGGAGGGGGGGGTTGTTTTATGGGGTGGCAGGCAGAGGCGGGGGGGGGAAAGAGGGACAAAGAGAGGGAAAATCTGTACGGTTGTCCTTTTTCTTCTCCCGTCTGATCAGCGCCTGAAGTCCTGCTTGGCAGAGCTCTGCAGCCCCAATTTTGCTGTGTTCCGTCCCCAAAATTCTTCCTGCACATACGGACAAGCGTGGGGCAAAGCTTTTCCGTGGATTTTGGGGAGGAGGGGGGGAGGAATTTTGTACTGAAGGCAATGGGAAACGAGGGGAGTGGGGGGGGGGAGGGGGGGGGGAATGGAACAGAGAGGCACCTCGCTCTGTTCTAAGGGAGATCTCAGCACGTGTGTCGAATCAAACCTGAAAGCCTTTCGGCAGAACGCACCCCTCGGCCCTAAATAAACGTTTAGGGATCAATTCGCAACGGATCCGAGGCGGCCGGGTCTGGGAGAGCAGCGCAGAGCGGGGGCAGCGCCGGGTGGAGGGGGGCTGGGGGGGGGGGGGGGGGGGTGTCTGCGGGCGGCGTTAATGCGAAGCAGAGGAGGAGGGGATGGGGATGGGGATGGAGGGGTGGGGGGAAGGGGGACATGCGGCGGTCCCTCCCCTCTCTCTCTCTTTGGGTGGTCCGGGCGGCAGGAACACCCCGAGCAGCGCCCGCCGGTCCCACCTAGATCCATTTCCATCCTCGGGTTACACGCGGCCTGCTCGCGGGGTTGACTTCACTTAAGCAATTAGAGAGGAAAAATACCTTCGGAGCAGGAAAAGGAAGAAAGCTCGGATTTGTCTATTTTTACACAAAACACGGCCGGCTTTCAGGGAAGGGAGGAGGGGGGGAAGGAGCAGTGAGGGAAGAGGGGTCCGGCAAAACGGGACGGAACGGGCCGGGATTAACGGGGCTAATTGCTCCGTTGCTCCCGATCATCCTTTTCTTTTTCTTTTTCTTTTTTTTCAATTCTTCTCATTTTTTCCCGTTCGCCCCATACCCCTTCCATCCCCGCTTCCCCTTCGCTGCGGGTGGATCCGATGCAAACACACAAACCAACGGCAAACAACAGCAAACAGCGAGCCTCGCTCCTCCGCCCGGCCCAGGCGGCTCTTCTTTCCTTTATAAATGACCCTAAGATTCTATTTCTGGGGAGAACGATAAAGACCCAGCGACTCCCCCTCGCCCCCCAACCTCCTTGTCCCGCACTCAGCTCCCCGTTTCTCTGTGCCGTATAGAAAACCTTCCAGCTTTCCTCCTATTCCCACCGCGAGGCCTATAAAAATCGGAGCCGTCTATTTCCACGTCAGCATCCTCTGGATGGGATAAAACCATTGGAAATCGAACCTTCACCCCCCTCCAAAAAAAATAACCAACATTCCGAAGTGGGAAAAGGGTCCTTTAAGAGATTCTCTCGGGAGTGGAAGGCTTTGATTTCAGCGCCCAGATGCATTTACCCATGTTGGGGGAGTGCGGGGGGGGGGGTTGGTTCTGAAGGTGGGTTTTGCGCCGTTTCTTTGTGCTGCTTCCAGATCTCCATCCCGGATGGGTTTTTTTATGGTGGGGGGAGAATGGAGGAATTCGGTCTCAGAGCGCTGAAAAATACTTATTTCTTGGCTCAGTGTGTGTGTGTGTATGGGGGGGAGATAAATAGAAAGCATCGCTAAGCGGCGGGTTTATCTGCACTGTCCGCCCGAAATCTGCGAGCAGACAGGAGAGGAGTGACTTCCTTACAGTGTCATTTTGGGGTTAAGGTTTGCCTCCGTGCCCACCCTGCTCTGGGGGTTCTCCCATCCCCAAAAGTTCCCCTCCACCTCCCCTTTCCCAAGGGGGTTTATTTCTTTTCTTTTCTTTTTTTCTTTTTTGCGGAGTGGGAGAAAAACGACGGGGAGAAGGAAGGGAGGGTTTAAAAAAGCAAGAAGGGGGGCAAAAAAAGAGGAAAAAATTAAGAAGAAAAAGAAGCCCCCCGTGAGAAATCCCCGCCGGTGCAGGCAGCTGGGACAGGCGCCCTGCAGGCTGCTCACAACTGCTCGCCAATAACTCGGAGGGAGTTCGGAAACCAGATCGGTATCCGCTGCCCCACTTTTTAAGAAGGCTTCAATTATCTTTTTAAATAACGAGAATAATGATTATTAAAAATATATGTATCCTTTAAAAGCGAACCTGAAAAAGTGGGATGCTCTCTGTAGTTGCAGGGCAGACCCGTAGCGGCCTGCATTGACTGGAGGGACTGGGGGAGGCAGGGTGGGGAATGGAAGGGGGGTAATTTCTTTTTATTTTCCCATTCCTTTCTCTCTTCCTTTCCCCGAGCCCAGACTGTGGGGCAGCCGCACGTTGCCCCGCTCGCACCCTACAGCAGCCAAAGCCCGGATTGCTGCCGCCTTGTCCCCCAACTCCCCTACCACCACCCTAATATCCCCCATCAGGAGAGTGGATTTAAACGCGCAAGAAGGTGACAAAGCTTTAAAGCGACTTACCTCGAGCGAGCGACAGCCCTCCCGATGGGAAGATGCTCGAAAAGGGCTTTTTTTTTTCTTTTTTTTTTTTTTCTTTTTTTTCTGAAGGATTGAGAGGAAAGGGGGGGCGGTGAGGACTATTCCTTCCCGTTCTCCTTCCCGTCCCCCCCCCCCTTCCCTACCCCGATGCATGTGCGTGCGGCATCCGAGCGAGCCGAGCAACGGGGCTATCGGCATTCAGCCGTTTGCGAAGCACAGATTTATAAACAACCTCCCCCCTAAAGTATAAAAAAAATAAAAGTAAGAAGAAGAAGAAAAAAAAAAAAAAAAAAAAAAAAAGGAAAGAAAGCCAAATAGCCCTAAAGAAACCTCGGAGCAGGAGAAGGAACCGAAGCCCGTTCCCGGACCGGCGGCAGAGGCAGAAAAGGGCATTTCGAGAGGCAGAGGGAGTTTTCGCCGATTTCTTTTTATTAAAGCACCCCCGAGCCCGTGTTTACATTGCTCAGTATAAACATCCTGCCCGGGCCCGCCGAGCTTAAAAGAGCGCACCAAGAGGGGGTTTAAGTGGGTGAAGCTCCGAGCTGAGCGGACACCGAAGCCGGGGCTGAGCCTCCTCTCCACTGCTCGGCCGCGGATGTTCCGCGCTGCCCGGAGGCCCCTCCGCGTGGGGCGCTCCCCATCCCGGTGGTTTCCAACAGAAGCAGTGCGGGGAAGGGGGGGGAGAAGGGGGCAGGAAGAGGAGGGTGGGTGTCGGGACCCCACGCTCGGTCGCGGTCACGCGTGCCTTCCCCCCTTCCCCCCCCCCCCCCCCTCCGGAGGTGGGCAAGGATGCGGAGCGTTGCGTGGAAAGGGCTCTTTAAAAGCTGCGGAGCTGCAGAGAGGGGCCGGGACAGGAGGGCCGAGGGGGCCGCCCGGGAGGGCGTGGGGGAGCCGCTCGGGGCGGGGAGTTCCTCTCCGTTCTTACGTCTGTCAAAGGAGCGGCAGACGCCGCGGAGAGAGATAAAGCAAAAGGCGAGCGGAGGGCCGGGGGCAGACTCGACAGCCACAGCGATGGGAAGCAGCTCCCCGCAGCGCCGGCCCTATTAGAGGTGGGGGGCCCGGCGGGACGCGGACGGTCCCGGAGCACGGAGCGGGACGGAAGGAGGCCGCCCGCTTTTCCTCGCGGCAGCCGAGGGCAGCTTTCCCCCCCGCGGCCCCCCTTCTGCAGCCGTGCTCGGATTTAGGGATAAAGTGGGAGGAGGAGGAGGAGGAGAAGGAGGGAAAGGGGTGGGGGGGGGGGTCGCTGCCATTTGTTTATCCTCTGAGGGGTGAAGGCTCCCGGTGGAAACAAACCCTACCGGGGGCCGAGAGGAGGAGGAGGAAGAGGAGGAGGAGGGTCGGGGGGGATCGCGGCGAGCCCCCAGCAGCGCGGTGGCCTTTTGGGGGGGCGCGTGGGGGGGGGTGGCGGAGGAGGGCCGGGGCTGGCCGCCGCGGAGCTGCCCGTAGATGACTGCAGAAGCGCAGCAGGCTCTGTCCTCTCAGCCCCCTCCTCCCGCTGTGCACAGCAGCTACGGCCCCATGTCCTCCGTGGCCGAGAAGCAGCCGCAAAACTCGGCCATGGACGCCGCCTCCGCCGCTCCCTCCGGGCCGGGCGGCAACAGCGCTCCGGGCAGCGGCGGAGCCCCGGGTAGCGGCGGCCCTAAAGCGAAGAAAACCAACGCGGGGATCCGGCGGCCGGAGAAACCGCCCTATTCCTACATCGCTCTCATCGTCATGGCCATCCAGAGCTCGCCCTCCAAACGGCTGACCCTCAGCGAGATCTATCAGTTCTTACAGAGCCGCTTCCCTTTCTTCCGCGGTTCTTACCAGGGCTGGAAAAACTCCGTTCGCCACAACCTCTCGCTCAACGAGTGCTTCATTAAGCTGCCCAAGGGGTTGGGCCGCCCGGGTAAGGGCCACTACTGGACCATCGACCCGGCCAGCGAGTTCATGTTCGAGGAGGGCTCGTTCCGCCGCCGGCCCCGCGGCTTCAGGAGGAAATGCCAAGCGCTGAAGCCCATGTACAGCATGATGAACGGGCTCAGCTTCAACCACCTCCCCGACAGCTACAGCTTCCAGGGCTCGGCCGGAGGGCTCTCATGCCCTCCCAACAGCCTTTCCCTCGAAGGGGGTTTGGGCATGATGAACGGCCACTTAGCCGGCAACGTGGACGGGATGGGCCTTGCGGGACACTCCGTGCCCCACCTGCCCTCCAACGGCGGGCACTCCTATATGGGCAGCTGCAGCGGCTCCTCGGCGGGGGATTACCCGCACCACGAGAGCTCCGTGCCCGCCTCCCCGCTGCTGCCCGGCGGAGGGGTGATGGAACCGCACTCGGTTTATTCCAGCTCGGCCTCTGCGTGGGCTCCCTCCGCTTCGGCCGCCTTAAACACGGGAGCTTCCTACATCAAGCAGCAGCCGCTGTCGCCTTGCAACCCCGCGGCCAACCCGCTGTCCTCCAGCCTTTCTACACATTCCCTCGATCAGCCCTACTTGCATCAGAACAGCCACAACACCGCCGAGCTTCAAGGTGAGGCGCGGACGCGTGCGAGAGAACCCTGAGGGGATGGAAGCGGGGGGGAATCCGCGGCCACCGGCCCCGGGGATTGGTTTAACAGCAGCTCCCCCCGAGGGGAAGCAGCGGTCCTTTCACTCTTTGCCGGAGGATGCGGCGGTTTGCACCGTCGGGGTTCGCACCGTCGTTGTTGCGGGGCTGGGAGCTGCCGCGTCCCGCGTGGATGCTCCTTATGCCGGTGGGTGCGGAAAGGGGAGGCCGGGAAACGGGTTCTGGGGGTTCAGAGTAAATAGGAGGTGGTGGAACAAGGAGGAAAGGGTATCGATAGAGGTTACCGCAGGGCTCTTCGAGGAGGCTCTCAGCGAAGCGGGGGTTTTATTTAACGGGAGCAGCCGCTGCCCGTATCCTTAACCATCCCCCCCGTCCCTCCGGCCTCACACCGCAGCAATCCGCTCCTCTCAGGCTTTTCCAGGCCTTTCACTTCCCTCCGCCTGTAAGAAGTCGGTGGCGGGGTGTCCCCGCGTCCTACGGCTCTTCTGTGCCGCTATTCGGGGATACGGCGGTGTCCGGGCGGCCGTCGGACCGCCGTGCTCTGAGCCTGTGGAAGGACGGGGAGCTCGGAGCTGGGATTGATACTACGGCCCAAGTTCACCTCGGGGCCAGGGGAGGCTCCAGGGACGCGGGGAGCGCTCCGCATCGCTTCGGGGCGGTGGAAAGGAAGAGTTTGGGGTGGCTGCGTTTGGCCCCCGGTTTCTAAAAGAGGGAAAGAACCGCAGAAACGATGTAGAGCGGAGCGGTGGTGGGAAAGAAGCACGAAGGCAGGGCGGAAAGGCGCAGCTCGGCGCAGGGCCGAACCGGGCCGAGGGCAGCGGAATGCAGCCGGGACCCGCCGCCTCCACCTCGGCCCCATTCCGCCAATAAACAGCGGATCAGCAAGCTAATTTAGCTGAGAAATGAAGCAAAAAAATCAGTCGTAAAGGATCTCCCAGGCCAGCCCGAAACGTCTCAAATCAACACCCAAAAAATGTACGCGGCTCTTCCTTAGCCCGGAGAGGATTTGCGCGGCTCCTCCTGAGCGCAGTCTCGATTTTTCGGGGCCTTTTTCCCGTCCCGAAGTGACTGCGGAAATAGCGGGGGGGTTTCATGGGCTGTTTGGGTCCCTCCGCCCAATCTGTGCCGGCCGGGTCCGCTGGGGAGAGGCCGAATAACTCCGCTCCGCACCCTGCGGGGATCGCGCGCAGGCGCAACAAATACAAATACCGAGGAAAAACAAAACCAAAACGAAATGTCCTTAGGCCGTGCGGGGTCGGAGCTGCGGGCTTTTCTCCGGCACCTGCCCGCATTTTCTGGGAGAGATGGGAGTGCACCGAAACCTCGATTCGCGGGCGGCCGGGTGTTTCCCTCCCGATATCTCCTTCTCCCCAACGCTCGGCTTTTTTGTTGTTGTTTTTTGGGGTTTTTTTGTTTGTTTGTTTGTTTGGTAAATATAATGATGATGGCTGATCGTTTTCTCTCTCCGTCCCGCAGGCATCCCGCGGTATCACTCCCAGTCTCCGAGCATGTGCGACAGAAAGGAATTCGTCTTCTCTTTCAACGCTATGGCCTCCTCCTCCATGCATTCAGCGGGCAGCGGCTCCTATTACCACCAACAAGTGACATACCAGGACATCAAGCCGTGCGTTATGTGAGACGGGGCGGAAAAGCCACCATCACCTCCCGGAGGCCGCCGAGGTCTGACCCGGGGAACGACCCCCATTCCCACCCAAGGACCCTGTGGGAGGAGGAAAGAGGAGCGTGTGTGTGTTTGGGGGGGGGTTCTGCAGACTGAGTTTGTCCCCGTGGATGGGACCCCCGGGGAGCGGACAGCTGAGCGCGGCGAGGCCGAATGCGGGCGGCCCCGGGGCTGAGCGCGCCCCGCAGCTGAGCATCGGCCGGGCCGGCCTCCACCACGTGTCTTTAATCAAAGACGCTCTCTGCCTTCTTCTGCTTCTTCTGTTGGGTCGGGGTAGGCTGGAAGAGAGAGGGGAAGAAGGGGGGGGGAAAGTAAAAAACAAGCAGCCCCCCGAAACCCTCCGCTGCCCCTTTATCTTGAAATCTCCGACTGCGAGTTTGGGTTGAAAGGTTTTGCTACGTGAGGTTTTTCGGGTTCTATCCTTGAAAAGAGAAAAGAAATCGCAAACGAAGCGTTCTGAATCAATTCTCTAAGTGAGAGCGATGCCGCAGCCCCATCCATCGGGGGCAGAGCCGGAGGGGATGCTGTGAGCACCCCGAGCACAACAGAGCAGCGCTGCTCCGGCCCTTCGCTCCCATCGAGCCCTTACTCCTGAAAATAATTTTTTAAAAAATTTTTTATTTTTGGTCAAAAATCTCTAAAAGGGATCACATTTTTATTTTTAATTTGTAGCCATTGATTTTTTATTTTTTTTTTTTTAATTTTTTATTTTTTTTTTGACCTGCGTAAAGACTGCAGGACCGGACCCTATGCAGAGAGAAAAAGGCACTTTGAAAAGAGACAGCCACGCTCCTTCTGTTATTTATTCTACATTGTCGTCGTCGTTGCTAATAATGGAGACACGAGGAGTCTCAGTTGATCAGTATTAAAGCGGTGGAGCTCTGTTGGCAATATTTGCCATATAGATGTTGGGTTTTGTTGTTGTTGTTTTTTTAGTTAACCTCTGTAAATTTTAAACACCCTGGTCTCTGTGTAAAGACAATCCTCCATATGTTTTTATAGAAATATATATATAATGAAGGATTATTCCCCCCCCCTCTGTTCCCCATCTATTTTTTTTTTTTTTTTTTGCCCTGACTTTGTACAGTTCGGTGTCACCTATTTTAATTCCTTTCTGCACTGTATAAAACTGTAATGATGTGGTTGGTTTTGTGTTCTATTTTATTATTTTGGATTTTTTTTTTTTTTTTTTTTTTTTTTTTTTTTTTTGCCCTTTTGTGTACGTTTTGTCCCTAGAGGAAAAAAAAAAAAAAAAAAGAGAGAGGGGAAAAAAAAGAATCGAACCGAAATAAAACATGTATGGTCTTTGTATGTGGGCTTCACGACTGTATGAGCAGCAAATAAACGAGCAATGCGGTGTGAGACGCCGAGTTCTATCTGAGGAGTCTGTGGGCTCCCTGTGTTTGGGGCACCAGAAAAAAAAAGTCCCTTTTTGGTGAAGGCTTGAAAGGGCTTCTCTTGGTTTTGGCTGCGCCGCTCGGCGGGTCTCGGAGTTTCCCTGTTTGAGATGGAGCGAGCAGGGAGGAAAGCTGGAGGTGATTATTATATCTTTTCTTTTTCTTCTTTGTCGTCTGTATCTTTTTATGGTTTTGCCCAAGGAAAAAGTGAAAGGCGATGGCTCTGAGCCTCTTAGTAGGGTCACAGCCCTCAGCTCTTCCTCTTCTCCTCCTCCCAGCTGGACCCTATGGAGCCCAGGGCAGCTTTCTGCGTCCTTTCCTCGCCATAGAAGATATAAAACATATAAAATCAAAGCAGGTAACGGGGGGCTGGCGTTCACCTAAACCCAGGCACAAATCCATGGGCCGAGCACTCAACTTACTGCAAAGGGTTCAGGTTTATTTGTTGGAGGATGTGCCCAACTCCAGACATTCTGCTTCAACCACCTCCGTAGGCCAAGGCGCCCCGTATCAGTGCATGCTACCGACAGCACATGTGTGGAAGTAGATGTATACAAATTACTTTGATTGCTCAGTTGTGTATGTCCACCTTCATCCAGGCAAATTAGGTTACGGCGCACTGATCAGCCGGGCATTGTGTAATGAGTTTAATTAAAAGCAAAGTTAGCCGCACGCACACACAAAAGCTTTCTAATTAAGGCAGGTGGGAAGGGTTTGATGAGTTACTGGAGGCCTTTCTCTGGGAAGTTTAATTAATTTGGGGGTGTTTTTTTTTTTCCAAGGGTGGTTATGATTAAGGGAGCGGCGCTCAACTTGCAATCCTTATTGGGGTTCCCCTGTTTTTGTGCCTCTGTGGACCAATCCTTCTCTCCGTCGTGTGTTGGCCATCCCTGCTGGAGTTGAGCCACGCTGTTACCATCTCCATGTGCGAGCTGAAGGCTGGGGTTCGACTCCTGACGCACATATCTGCGCTAGGTGTGGCCGAGATAAAGGCTCAGGGTTAGGAGTTCAGTCCCTGCCAAGTGGTTCTTCCTTCCTTGATATCTCACTATCGCTTCTAAGATTCTTTCTCATCCTTCAGATTCACTTTGGACTTGGGCACCTTATCGATCTGCTCACAGCTTGCTGTCTGCAGGGTTGGGAAGGGCAGGCAGACACCTCGCAATCCACCCGAGCAGGGTTTGATATCTGGTCCCCAACAAAGGTTTCTGTGATTCATTTCCCTCCCTCCCTTCGGTTCCCCTTACCCCACGCCACCAAACCTGGAAAAACAGAACCACTGCATACCGTGGACGCCACATATTCCTCAAGCCAGTGAGCGCAGTCTAAACAGGCAGCTCTCCATCTCCGACACCTACAGCAGGGAGGAGAGGGTGAAATCCTGCAGGCTGCTGCTCCCAGCCCTTGCTCTGCACAAGACGAACCCGCTTTTTCCCCTGTTGTTCCAGGGGATTGCAAAATTCTAGCTGTTATCCCAACCAGACCTTTTGTACAAGCTCTGTGCTTGTGTTTGTGTGAGCAGGAGAGCTCTGCTGGGTGGTGAGGAGGAACAAGCTTGTTCACAAACGCTGCTGGAGCCCTGAAAGAGGACGGGAGGAATAGGCTTGCTCAGAAATACAGGATTTGCTCACGTAACAACCTCCCCCTGCCCAGATCCGAGTTGTGGCTAGCTGACATGGCTCCGTTCAGTAGCGGCAATTTGCTCACTGCTGCGCTGCACTTTTGGAGCACATCAAGAATCAGAGCCTGGTTTTTCTCACCTGATTTGGCACAAGATGTACCAGCAGCTTAGGGGACACAGAAGTCCCCCCCCAGACATGCTGCAGCATGGCCAGGCCGTGCCATGGCAGAGCACTCGGCCAGCAAGACGTGTTGGTTGGTAGCTTCTCCACTTCCCTCCGCTCATCTCCAAGTGTTTCCTCCCAGCCTCTTAGGGCTGCCACGGAGCTGCATGTGTAAATCTACCGTCTTGTCGCTTGTATACGGCTGGGTCTCCGTGTGACGGTGAGGAGGGACCCGGGGGCGATGCGGGGCTCAGCTCGGGGGCGGCGGAGCACAGCCGTTCCCTTGGAGGCAGCGCCATCTGGTGCTGCGCACTGCGCACCGCGCCCCGAATCCAAGGGGTTTTTCCAAACAGCGACTGCGAACCCGGCTGCTTCGGGAGGTTTCTGCCCCTTTATTATTTATTTTTATCTCCTTCCTTCTTTTTCTTTCTTTCTTCTTAGTTTTCTTTCCGCCATCTAGAAGTCTGAAGGTGAAAGGAGCTTTACCGCGTCTCAGATTTGGCGTCAAAATGTCTGATGCGCCCCATCACCAACAGATCTCCTTCATGAGATGCTTCTGGCTCAGGTCTGTTCTGCACCCAGGTGGGAAACACGTGGGGTAGCATCGAGGAGAATATAGATACTCCTGGTACAGTTACGTGATGCTCCTGGGCAGGGGTGGTTACTCAGACTAGCAGAAAACCAGGTACGTGGGGAGACTTCCCTGGTGGAAACAAATCCTCTGAATCTTAAATGGAAATTCGGAAGGCCAAGTGCTGAGTTTGGTCCGTATTTCTTAGCAGGGGAAGGCTCAAACTGGGTGCCTGACTTCTTGTTGAATCCAAGAAGCTTTGGACTTTGATGGATCTGAGTCACAGCTTTTGAAAAGGGGATTTTGACTTCTTTGGGACGAGCACAGGCTTTTAGAAGGTCAGATTTCAGCATTTATTCACTTTCCACGCATTCTTAGAAGCAGAACTGCTGCCTGACACCAGGCTCTGCAGGAAAAGAGAGCTAGGGTGGTTCATACAAGCCAAGAAATCTTCGTCAGTGAGAGCCACATTCAGGGACATAATAACTGATGCAGGTGACTGGCTGAAGGAGATCCCCATAACGAGCAGGAGATGCACAGAGTGCCAGCAGCAGTAATCATGAGCTGATGCTTTTCATAGACACAGTTATCAGATTGGCCCAGGAAGTGAGGAGAGGCAGGCAGCAAAGTTGTTTTAAATAAATTCCATTGCCAGTATCCATCGTGCCCAGTAAGCAGCTAAAGTCAGAAGATTATTAAGGAAAGATAACAAGGAATAAAGCTCATTATTGATATTCTGGGATGCAGGGCTGTCTATTTGCACATGCTTATGAGAGGCTCTTTGAGACCAATTCCCCATCATTGGGATAAACATCAACCTCCTCTTAGACACCTGCAGGTTCACATATCACATACCAGCTTCACCTACTGCTACAGGCACACATATCAGAGCAAACGTCCATTCCAGAGACCAAACCACGATCAAATCTGCTTGATCACAGAATGAGATGCGTGGACACTGGCAGTGCTTCCATACTTCAGTATCTCTTACACTGAACACAGTTATTTATTTGTGGCAGCAGGAGTTGAAAGACCCGGAATGGTACAGAAAGTGCAGTTCTGTGGCTCAGCTCAGCTTCAGGCTAATTACTGAAAAAATAAGCAAACACACCTGGAAAAGCAAGATGTCAGAGCCTGGAAAGTTTTGCAGGGACTTAAAAGTTAGCAAGAGTTCACTTGGAGCCAGACTCGCTACAGCAATTGTGTATCTATATGGTAGAAAAGATACTGCAGATCAACTGCAGGGGTAATTGCTTCCTTCAGAGAGATGGAAATGCCAACCTTTGGAATCTGAGCAGCACAAGTGCTTGGAAATGCTCTGAAAACATGATATCCCTCTGGAAAAACTGCAAGTATTGCTCTTGTCTGAATGATTAACTTCACTCTCACAGATTGCTTAAAAATACTAAGGAGTGGCTGCAACAGATACACTAAAGCTGAGAAACGTGGAGGTTTTTGCACTATTTCATGAATGTTTCCCTTTCCTCCCTGACTTTTTTCTTTCCCTCTCATCTCACCGTTCCAAATGTTTGCTTTATTCCCTAAAAAAACCCATACTTTTAGCTCCACGTGTTTCTGCATGAGATGGGTGGACCGCAACACGCTTGCATGATTTGCTAGACCTCAGGAGGAGGCACGTCTCAGAAAAAGTCATTATTTTCTGTCCCCTGTCTGGTTTCACAGGGAAAGCAAGCTGTGATTTGCACTCTTGGAATGGAAAGAGGTTTGCAGGTGTGCTTTGACTGACCAGAAGGCAAGAGTAGCAAGAGGACCTATGGGATCACACAATACCCAACCACAGCAGGGCTGCCTGGTGGCTCCAGCAGCCGAGTAGAGGCAATGCTGAAGCTCTGCTGGGAAGAAAGAAGATGCTGGGATGAAACAAGGTGCCCATCCATCACATAAAAAAGGCCACCATGCTATGTGTTTTTACTTATTTGAAAAGCAAGCAGTTGATGGGCTTCTAACCTGTCTTTCCAGCTGTTTCCCAAGGCTGGGAATTAGCAGCCTACCAGGAGCCAACTCTGCCTTCCTCATTTTTCCATCTGTAAAATGTGGATGTTACTGGGGCCGCTGTAAAGATGCACTAGATAGGTCTGTATCCTGAAGTCATTTCTCCCAGTGACTTCAGTGAGATGCCCAGCCCAGAACAATGGCAGGATACACAGCCCTAAACATTGCTGCTGTGCTTTAAAAGATGAAAAGCAGTGACTTCTGTCTACCTATGCAAGTGGAGGGACAGAGAAATTTTTCATGATGTTTACAGCAGACATCACAGGCATTACACATGAAAACATGGGAAATGGTGCACTCTTCTCGTGGAGAGATAATCTTTAATAGATGGCAACGAGGAAACAGAGGCATTCATACACAAGCACCTACCTCACTAAGGGGTATGTTTGCCTGGCTGACATGGCCACACTCACAGATGTTTCCTCCAGTGCCAGAACTGCTGCATGGGGCTGTTCCTTCTAAGGAACCGGAATGAGAGAAATCTCAGCACATGCTTTTCCTTCCCCTCCTCACCCTTTGCTGTCGTTGAAGAGAAAAATGCAGTGACTGACTTTCAATGAAAGCATTCTCTTAAAAAAAAAAACCACGTTTGTTTCTTCCTTTGAAGTGCTGGAAGATAAAATTAAAAAGAAAAAGAAAAAAAATAAAGACATGACTTGAAGCCAGTATTTAACCACCCCCTTTTATTTTACTGGCCTCTGATGATAGATAATGAGCTAAAATCATGTGTCCTTAAAGACTGCTTCCTGTGAGGGAACAAGGGCCTGATGTGAATGGGTGCTGGAGGGCTGGATGGGGACCTGGCTGTGTCACATAGGAGCAGGCTTTGCTCTCTTCCCACCCCGACATTGAGATATTATTTTTTTTTCCCCTTGTTCTCTCCATGGAAACAAATAATCTCTGACTCTTGTCACTTAGAGAAGACTACACAGCAACATGGCTTGTTTACTCACTGTTGTCTTTGGTGGATTGAAGCTGTGTGGCCTTGTCCACGTTCCAGGAAATGCATGGACATAGCTGTCTGAAGGAAAACCCTCATGACTGTATAGTTTTCAGTGCTGAGTGGCAGTTAGCCACCTCATTTTTATTGTTAGCAGATCACAATGTTGCCTCACTGCTCTGTGCCACACACCACGCTGTGACTAATATCATTCAGCAAAAGAAAACCCCCTCCAAATTGACCACGTTCTCAAGCCTAACGGATCTGGTCGAGGCTCCATCCATCTGATAGCATCCTCCCTTTGCACCTCTCCCATAAGCAGGGATAGAAAAGGACAAACAGAGGGGGTAGAATCACTCTGGGGAGCTCATATAGCACCTAGGGTGGTCGCTGCCAGGCTCTGCACCCTCTCAGCTGCCATAGAAGCTGGGCTGGGTTTGCTCACTGCAGCCAGCCTCCGGAGCTGTTCAGCATCTTTCCCTACTGAACCCTTGAAGAGAGGGGCATGCAATAACGACATCCTAACTTGTTTTGTGCCATGAAAGGAACTGGAAAGAATGCATTGAACCACATGACAAGTGAGGACATCAGGCTGCAGAGAGAATAGAAAGACCTCATTTTTAATTACTTCGGAACAAAGTTGGCTCAGTAAAGTATTTCCCATTGTACTGCTGAACTTTTCTTCTCATCGCACAGCAGTGAAACACAGGCTCTTCTGCTGCTGCTGCAAATGGGCTGAAATCTGTCTGCGTTAGGGATCACTTCATTTCCTATTGAATGCAGGCTATCCATTAACCAAAGGCGTTTTAGAATTTTATGCAACATCCAGGCACTTCTTTCTCATTGCGGATGTTTTTAAGCGTCTTCAAATATGAAGATACCTCAGCCCTTCGTACAGAAGGGGAACGGGGGTTAATAGGTAAGATGTGCATTTTCACCATTGCTCTGGGTGTTTACAGAGACCAGGGCTGAAGCACTGAAGCTTTGCAAGTCCCAGACTAGTGCTTCAGTCACTGCAATAAAGAAGGGCTGTGTGCAGCGGTAGGCACCTGAGATGAGGTGACATATCCATGTCTATGCAGCCATCCTAGGTGCTAGCAGCAGGGCCACAACTACAACTGGCAGAAAATGAAGAATTATTGCTTTAGTGAAGGTTCTCATCTTTAAAGCTTGTTAATTCAGACAGTAAATCCCCTAGGGCATTGTCTCTGTGGCTTGATCCTTAGTAAAATATCTTGCACAGTCTTGATCTGGGCCAAAGTGAAAAACAAGCAGACTTCAGTTCCTCGAGTTTCATTATGAGATCAGAGTCCAAGGATTCACTGAAAAGTATTACATTGCAGAGTTTTGTGGATTGAGAGAAAAGTCAGAAGTGACTCATGTACAACCGATGTCTTCCTGAGCGTGCAGAGAGCCTGAAACAATAGACCTAAGAGATGCAAACTGGGCCCCATTCACCCTTTCTTCAAAATCTGCTGCCTACCCAAGCAGGAACTTGGTCAGCCTGTAAGAAAAAATCCACATCATGCAGCTGGAGATGCCAGAAAGTCATGTAGGCGTGCGCCTTCGGTAGTCTTGTGTTGCTTAATTAAACAGCAATTGAGCATCTTGCATTGAAATGTCACTTAGCTAAAGAAGACCAGCTTCCTAAGCAGTGGTAAGAGCCTCATTCTTAACACAGCTTCTCTTGCTTCAAGACAGAAATCACGCAGGCTTCAGCATGCACAAGGTCAAACTCCTACCAGCTGAGTTAATACAGAACACATTTCAGAAAGCATGAGATACACCCAATTTCTCACAGGTAAGCTTACAGAACTGCTTTGCTGCAAGTTATGCTGCTTTTTTTTTTTAATTCCTTGTCATTGCAGAATATAAATCCTTAAGTTCCTACAAAATCACTTCTTGTTTTCAACTGTGGGAATGCAATAGCAATGCACAGATGAGATAGGATTCCCTACGGTTTTTCATCTCCAGAGGGGAGAGGTTATGTTCTTCAGCCACATTTGCCAGGAGAAAACCCTTGTGAAAGTAAGGAGGCCACCCCAAAACAGCAGGAATGTGGGGAAGCCAAGCCTTCTTATTTCAGAGGACTACTGCTTACCCTCATGCAAACTATAAACCTCTACAGGTGCTCTGTGCCTCGGTGAACTTTCTGCAGCTTCAGGCTCTTCTCAGCAGCAGCCTGCACTAATTTCTTCCTGCAGGCTGTTGCTCTTGCAGCAGACAACAGAAAGGAGCTTGTTCACAGCACAGTTACTCTGATTTGCTGATGCCCAAATGATCTTGCAATTTATTAACAACTTGGATCAAAAATGACTGCTCAGCTTGGAAATTATCACTGCATTAACATGATTTCAGTCCATTCAAAATGCTAAGGGACAGTTCATTAGCCTAAGCTTATAGTAATTACTTTTCTCCTCAGAGCCTAATTACAATTACATACCTCTGTCTGGTTAACACCTTTCCAGCAGTGTGGTTTGGATTGTGAACTGCATTCAAAAAAGTGAGAGGCCAGAAGATAACTGCAGAGAATCAGCTACGTGCAGGGCAGTCTAACACAGCTCATGCTACAGGTTGCACACAGAGCCACAACTGCAAAGAGGAAAGTCATCTGAAAAAAGCTCTATCTAGATATGCTTGTCCAGACAAAACCAGCCACTGACTGCATACAGCGTTAAGAGCAAAGCAAATACATCTAATACCCCTAGCATATAAACTTTTACTATCAGAATACAGAGAAAACCATTATGATTTCTTCTGTTCCATTGCTTTTGGAGGTCAGCTGACATTGAGCTCTGTGTTGTGGCTTCCAGCAAAGAAAAAACTGATGACCAAGGTTAGCATAAAAGAACTCTTAAGAGTGCCTCCAAGTATGAATACAAAGCACTTGCCAGTTATACATTTCTTTTGATTTCTTTGCCTTAGTTAAAAGAACAAAAAAACCCACATTATTTTTTCCTAATAAAACTCTAAGTGGTCAACAGTGCTTAATCTTATCTGTGTCTTTGATCATTAATACGAGGAAATAGGGCAGGAGATGAATTTCCCACAAATGTGACCAGGGAAGGCTAGTTCAATCTGTAATACACACAAAGTTGTTTGAGATGACTGAAGCTTGCATGGGTGGGATAATGCCTTTTAACTGCTAAGGTCATCTCAGCATCTTCACCAAAGCAAGTGGCATTACGAGAGTAAAAAAGAACATCATATGATCCCTCTTCTTAATTTGCCATCCTATGAAGGGGGAGGTTGTGAGGTATGATTATTTTTTTTGCTTTACTTTCCTCTGCTTTCTAAGATAATGATGTAATGAGTGTCTTTAAGTAGTAACATGACTCCTGGATCTTATCCTTGAAGCACACGACTACTGAAACAAGATGCAGGGGCCTCTGTAGTGATTACATTTGATTTCAGGCTGAGTGATACCAAAAATAATCTTGAGCTGAAGGAAAAGAGAGCATTTAAGAGCACAGCGCTATTTCTTCAGCAACTTCTCCTTTGCTGACCTTACAAGAAGTTGGAGCAATGCTTTCCTTGAGACCATCTGCACAGAGCACATGATAACACCGAGAATTTGTTGAATACTGTACAAAATGTCTGACCCCTGAGGCATAATAACATGCTTAAAATATACATAATGGTACCCTCTGGCTAAAAAAAAAGTTTCCAAGTTTAAGAAAAATCAATTTGGATGCTTACTTTGACTACGTGCCCAGCACCGATGGTAAAAGTGCTCCTGTTTAGAAAGGATGGTTCAGCCAAAATTTAACTTGTTTTTCAGGAATAGGGAACTGAAGAAAAAAAAATATATATATATATAATAAAAGCCAACAGGTTTTGACCACCGTTTGGCTGCTTTTTATTTCCACTAAAATGATTATCTATTAAAGTCATTTCACAGAGGTAACGGAGTCACACCACGTTATAAGAAACAAGACAATCAGGAAGAGCATCTGTTTTATAAGCATCTACATCAGGTGAAAAAGGCACCTGAAGTGCTGAGGGAGAAAGCTGGTATCTGCTTTCCTCACCCAGACTGATGTTTTTACACAGGGCTGAATTAACAGATCAAACCTGAGATGGAAGCTACCAGCTCATCCACTCGATCCTGATAGCTGCAAGTAGAGGCTGAGGCACTGGTTTTACAGCAGTTCTTTAAGAGCACAAAAAGGCCAAGCCCTCCTTCTCCATTTTAATGAAAAATATACTGAAAATTCCCAAGAGGCAAACCCTGTTTCTTAGTAAACATAAGTGCAAACCCTAAGACAGATTTTTTGCAGCTGGCTTTAAAGCTCACAAGTACAAATCCACAGGTACAATCTGCAGATGACAGAACACAACCACCTCCCTCCATGTGGCAGCTACCAAAGGGCAAGTTTTTGATCCAGGCCTAACAGATGTACACTGAAAAGCAAATCACCCCAAGGCCAACGAAAAACAAATACACAGAGCGTGGTTAATTTGTGGATAAGCATTTAGAGAAAAGGCTCCTCTGTCATCTATCTTGACAAATATACTTTGCACATACAACTGCAGGAACGAGGCAGGCGAGTCATCTATGAGATGCATGCCTCATTTATTTGAATATATGGCTTTGCCTTTTGTTGTCTAGCCTGTGGAGATCACAGCATATACTAATAACCTTGAAAACTTAGGTCTGCTTCTTGCAAAACAATAAAAACACGCCTTTGTTTCTTTCTCTTTCCTCTATTCATATTCATTTCTGACTATTGATTTCCACTTGCCCTTTGTTTCTCTGATTCTTGGCCAGCTCAACTCGCAAAGTATTACCCCCGAGGCTCAAGCCTTTCAAAGAGGATACAGCACTCTCTGCGGTTGCTTTATCCTTGTAATCGAGAAAAGCCCTGTGCTGTGCTCCCTGCCAATTCACTCGTAAAGGAGCTGCATGGAATTCCCTCAAAGCACATTTCAGCTCGCTCACTCTTAGGTTGGGAGGTATGTTCCCCACATACACAGTAGTAATCACGCCAGATCCCTCTAATCTGGGACTTAAAGAATCACTTTCAACATACTGTTGTCCTGTTTGAGCTGAGCCCATTGAAGCCTGTGGTCTTGTTTTTCCAGCCATTGCCTTCTCATTTAACGCTGCTGACTTGCTGCCTTTTGCCAAGTCTGGTTGTTCATCTTGGAGGGTGACATCCTTGCCTGCCTGCTTCTCCCTGTACCGAAGACTCTTAAGGATGGGGATTTTTCCCAGCATCTCACAGCTGACCTAAAAATGGAGGAAGACAGACACAATTATGAGTATTTTTCTTCTTCCAGAAAAAGATGACCATCAGGACACATTCGTACCATAAAAAGAGAGGAACTTTATTATATTGCTGCCATTCAGAGTGCCAGAGCATTCAAAATGTTACTAATTGTTGGCCAGATTCTGAAGTTGCTCCCTAAATACACACTGCGGGACAAAAATAAACATTAGTTACTCTTCAAGCAAGTACAACCAGCAGGAAAATCAAAACCAAACTCTGAGCTGGTTGATTTTGACATTTATTTATCAGGGCGCTTTCAGATTTGCATTCTCACTGTTATCCCTTAAGGTTTACTTTGACCGAGGCCCTGTGCTCCTGCTCTGGCAAAGCCTCACATGCCTACAATTCATCAGACCATGAGGCACTTTCATTCTGCAGACCTCCTTGCTTTCTTTACCCCTGAAAACAGGATATCCCGTAGGTTCAGTCATACAATGAGGAGGGACCACGGTGTTAGCTTGCAGCTGGGGAGCGTGCCTTGCAGTGGGGCTCCTACGAGTGTGGGCCCAGCTGGAGGCACGTTCTCTGGTTGTGGAACATCACCACAGCCCTCCCTTCTACCATCTGACACCACACACCACCCGCAGCTGCTCAGTGGATCCCACAGCAGTCTGCTGGGCTGGATCACAGAACTGAAGAGCGCCCGAACGCCGCGCTTTAAAACTGTGAACCCTCTCTCCCTCCATCCAGCCCCAGTTCATAAGCAGCTTTTCTGGAAGGGCTCTTCCTCTCAACAGCTGAACCCTATCCATCTCAGGCATGAGATGCCCCGGGCTGTGCTCAGCGACTGGCAGGAAACACAGTGGTTCCCTAGCTAATGTGGTCTAGCTCTTGGCTTGCAGACTGCAGTTGGAAGTAGCAATAATTCGTACTTGGCTGCTGGACAAGCAGAACATCCATCAACACAGGATCCAATTCTTAAATTTAGGGAGCAAAACAGAGCCTGGGGAAGAGATGCCTGAGCTAGCAGAGACCCAAGCTAATAGCCCACACAGTGTGAGCAAGCCACTCTCACAGGATACTGCATCAAAGCTTAGGAGCCACGACCTCAGCAGGCTGTCCTGGGCTGGCACTGGCATATCCTGGCTGGAATATACCTGCAGATCTCAGCTTAGAGCTCCTGAATTCCTGCTTCTATAATACAGTCCGGTAGGTTTCCCATTCTGTGAAGCAGACAAGCAAACTTTACTTCAGGCTGAAATAAAAATCCAAGCTTACGTACAGCCCAGCCTAACCTTCAGCCTCGCTAATATACGATCAAACAGCAGAACATGGCTAACAAACACGGGCAGAGGCCACCTCTGCTCTGCCACAGAGCAGACCCAGAGTCAAGGTGTTTGGGATCAGGCCATTTAAACACATAAACTATGACTGAAAATCTCTGTACAAATCTGGCAGCCAGTACAGAGAGGCAAGGGCTTCCTCTGGGGCTTCGGATGACTCTGAAAGGTACGTGGCATTTTCACATTTTGAAGACCTACTGCTCTATGGATTCCTCAACTAATTTGTTTTTCTCACCCAAGAATTCAGGCTGCTGGGTTCAACAGCAAAATCCCCTTCCCTGGGCAATACAACAACAAACCAATGGCTGAGGCCATCTTGCTTTGTTTTTACCAGACAACAATTAGGAACATTCGCTGTCTTCTGTCAAATTTCTATGTGAAATGTAAGCTCTATGCCAATTAAACCAAACAGGAAAAACATTATTCTCATGTAGCTAACGAATCCTGAGCCCAAACCACAACTGTCACCTATTACCAAGTGTATGCACAGTTACTTTCAACTTGAAATTAAACTCAATTTCTAACGCACAGACTGGGTGCTCAGCTAGAAGGATGGTCACCATCAAGAGCAAGCCCTCACTACTTTGTAGATTAAGAGAATTGATGAGTAGGGCATTCAGAGAATCAGCCTGGAACTTCCAGTCTCTCAAGGACAGATCGAAGATTTAAACAATCCAATGGTCAGAACACTTTCTCCTCTTACTGGAGAGGCCAGCATTTCTTGGCACCCAAGTGGAGCTCCTGTTTCACGGTCCTGCAAACTGGAAAAGATGCAGTTGCAATACTATATATGGCTTGAGAAAGACTACAAAGCAATTTTTATAAAGCTGAAGCTCTGATCACAAATAACACCATAAGGGGACCCCATCATTACCTGAAATTCAGCCCTTTGCAGGGACACCACTAAGAAGACTCTACAATACTGTTGCAACAAAGGCAGTTGATTTGGTACTTAATTTTATTTGCAATAAAGACATTCTGGAGAGAAAGAAAAAAAAAAATTGACATCCTTGCAACTGGACATCATCAACTGACATCCTTCTGCCACAGAAGAATGACAGAGTATTTACCTTCAGGCTATGGTCTAGGAGAAACTTTCAGCTGGATCAAAGCTCTCAAATACTTCCCTATTTTTTGTCCCTTTTTTTTTTTTTTTAATCAAAGAAAGGCAGAAACTCAGTTTATGTACTCAGAGCATCAATTCAAGAAACCAGTTCACCACCCTTTATGGGGTGCAAGGGGTGAGAAGCAGAAGGGCAAAAGGGGCAGTGGGTGGCACAGGAAGGGACTAAGCTTGTTCTGCTCTCTTGCAAAACACCAAACAAAAGAACGCCTTTGTGGTAGTACAATGTGTTGCTAATTACGACCATGCAAAAAGTATCTTTTGTCTTGTGAGATGTGGAGGTCTGCAATGATTTATTTCCAAGTGGAGAGAGTCCAAAGATATTCCTCCTCTCTTTCAAACAAGCTGCACGTTTCTTGGTGCTGTGCCGGCTGGTCACTCCTCCCTAGCCTCCTTCAGCACTTAAGGCTAAGCCAGGTTGCAAGGGCCTTGGGTTCTGCCTCCAGTAAGTCATCTTAGCCCCATTATATGAAACTGGGCAAAGCCCAGTGGCTGAAGCCTCTTTCCTTGCTCCCCACATCCCTCTAAAGTCAGGGCCAAACCATTTATTGATGTTTGTAAACTTTGTATTGAGTGTTGGGAGTTAGTAAAATGATTGGCTTTGGCAATGAAGCCAGCTGAAGAAGTTTCCTATTATCCCTTGACCACCAATTCCCAGGCCACTTCCACACTTCAGCCTTCTGGGGTTGGACAAGAGAAATGCTTGTGGGTCTGCAGTACAAACTCTGTAACTGAAGTGATTCAGGTTAAAAATAACTCCACCAAAGGCAATTAATCATTTAACAATCCTGCCTACTCCCTGCCATGGCTGAGAGAGCCTTGGGGAAAGAGGACAGCAGGGTAGATGAATTCTTCTGGCACACAATTACCAGGCTATGGGAAAGGAGCTGAGAAGGGAAATGCGGCCCCTCTCTGACACAAACCTGAAGAAAACAGAGTCTGGGATGCTGCCTGCCAATAAAAATCTCCCAGCATTTAACCCTGAGCATCCACTCTCATGGCACCTAGTCTGGTCACAGAACAACAGAGCTCCTGCAATGTCCTTTGCTGGAACATCGGGGCTCTCTTCAACCTCTGTTATTCCAGAAGAATGAATGCAGACACTTTCACTTCTTTGCTGGAAGAAATGAAAGATGTATTTGCCCTCTGACAGAATGAGTAATGCCGACCCCTGACACAGTGCAGGCCAAGCCAAACACCACTTTGATTTCCCTGGCAACAGAGGCGGCACAGTTCTGATGTACCTCAGATGAGGAAAGGACAGCTACAGACCAGAGAAGGTGCTTGGTCTGCTGTTTGATTCTATTTCACACAGCTACCCACCTGGGTGCATCAGCTGATGCAGGAACACGTGGCACGAAACGGATGCAGCCAAGGAAAGCTGAGAACAAAACCAATCAATCTTTAGCAGAGGAGACCCATGAGCACTTCCAAATCCTGAGGCTGGAAGGCCAGGGGCATTTGGAAGATTCACCTCTGCCCGCTCTGAGGGTGGTCTGACCCTAGGCTCCTCGGAAATGCCTCCAGGACAGAGCCCAAATCTCATGTTGTCTCCTTAATCAGTTGCTTGTCTCAAGAAGCACTCTACTCACAGGGGTTTAAAGCATGGACAAAGCCAAGAGAGCTAGGACGGGCCAACACAGTTGAGCATTTTATCATTCATTTGCACAAAATGTCCAAATATGTGCACGCAATCCAAGGGCATATTTCTGGGAGCTGGCAGCCCATGAAGTCTGCTGGTGTCCCTCAGGAGAAACTTATGAAACCCACATTTGGAATTCATCAGCAAAAACTGATTCCATGGACTCTGCAGCAAGGGTTAGATTTGCAAAGGTGTTGAGAAGTCTAACCATGCATGGAAGCCTGCCCTGCTCATGTTTTCCCCTCCCTGCCCCCAAAAAAACACTGCCAAAACCAAAACAACAAAACAACTCAGGCCAAACTGACAGTAATTTTCTTCGGATGGCAACAGTGCCCCTTCCAAAGGTTTTGCCAGTTATGTGTGAAGTTTGTGAGCTCTGACAGAGCTTACTTTACTTTCCAAACATTCTATCAGATACCCAAATCAAAAGCTGTTTGTTGTCAGCGTCTCCCTGCTACTGCACATTAAACATCAGATCCAGGGATTCTCCCAGTTTTGGAGGCATCGTTTTGGAAACGTCTTCTCCTATTTCTATAAAATTCTCAGTAAAAATGTGATTAAAAAAAAAACAACAAACAGAAGGAAATGCTTGCTGGAATGCAGTGATTTTTCCACCAACTTCTCTCATTTCTCTCCTCCTGACCCCAAGTATTTTAATTGGTCTATATAGCTTCAATTTAAAATAAGCACTGCACAAATAACTTCGTAATTGTGACAAACATAACTGACAGCGTCACAGATAAAGATCAGAGCTCCCCATACAAAATACTAAATGAGAAAGTAGTTTCACGGATTTAGAGTTCCCAGAAACAATGGGTCAGATTTTCAAGAAAGATGAAGCCAAATAACTCTCCACTGGCATCCAAATAAAGTTTTCCAGAGTTCTCAGCTCTTAGCAGCTCTTATTGTCCTCCAAAAGCACTAAGCTTTCAAAAACCTCTATTCCAGTGCAGAAAACTTACCTGTATAAACACCCCAGTGTTGCCTTTGTATTTAGATGCGCTTCTAGAGTGTCAAACACTTAATTTGTTAATGTTTTTTTTTTTTGGTAATAGCATTGCAGCTCTTATACTTCCTTTGAAATCTTTAAAAAAAAGTTTGCATTTCTGTGACAAAAATCACAGAATGTGTTGTTGGTTTTTTTGCACCTGTTCCCATTCTTGACTCACTGCTTCCTTCCTACACAGCATATAATGAGCAAAAACACTCCAAGAGAACACACATCTCTGGGCACAGAAATTTAGGCTGGAGATGTGCATTTTGTTTACCATGCAAGCACCCTTTTGCCTCTTTGTGAGCAGAAAACAGAGCATACCTATTAATGGCTATTTGTCCTAACAGCTTCAGAACAGGACACTCTTTGCAACAATGCTTAGCAGTAATCCCATGTTTGCAAACACCTTTAATTCAGTTCCTAAGTCATTGTCTTGGCCTGATCCAGCTGAAGGACTCGTTTGTTTTTGCAAGGCATTTTACACATCAACCTCTTAGAGCAGTCTGGCTACTTTATGTTGACAAAACACCATATTCAGAAGTGAGGCATTTATCTACTCACTATCTCGAGGTTCATTTAGTTTTGCTGAGAGAAAGAGGAATACAACAGCAAAGCCAGGATTTAAAGGAGAAAAGGATACAGAGAAAAGGATGAGAAAATGAGGTAGAAGCATCCAGGAAAATCCGATGGACAAACACTTAAAATAGCCACAATCAGATCCTACATTTTTAACACCCTGACAATTGCTTGGACCTCCCAGGATTCTCTGTGCAAGAACTGATCATGGTTACCTCCACAACCACAAACAAGATGTATGCAAGCTGTTCAGCTCTCTGTGCAAGAATAACGCTAGATTCTTTCTTCACGCAAACAAGACACGCTGTTCTCATCCCAGCACAACAGCAACATTACAATCATCCCCACTCCAGTATTCTCCAGTATTTTTTTTATCTAATCAACACCAGCTCTGAAGAACAGCCAAAAGCTGTTTTGTGTTAAATTAACACTCAGCATCTTTTTTTTTTTTTCCTTCTTCTTCCTTAAAATTCAGTCGTGCAAAGTGCGTTGCTCATAGTGAAAGCTGGGTCAAATCCAGAGAGCTGTACTCTTTAGACACCACCACTAATTTTAGACACAGCTCTGCCAAGCAGCTCCTCAAGCTTCAGATGCAAGCCCAAAGGAGTTGCAACAAATATTTTGTAAGCTTTTGAGTAATATATGGTAACACTGATCTTGACATTTTCTCTGCAAAGGGAAGAAGAAATGCTAAAGTAGTGCTGAATTTGATACATTGCTTGGGGACTGACTTGACTTTCCACTAGCAAAAACTACACAGTGATTCAAGGGCCACTGCAAGAAGCTGATCCCCAGATCTTTAAAAAGATGTCACTTGCAAAGGGAAGGAGACAGGGGAAAATAAAAACATAGGGGAAAATAAAACCAGCAAGGCCAATTACTGAGGCTCCACTGACACCAAGAAAGACTACAATCAAAAGTATGTTGGCAACTCCATCCATGTTGGATAGAGCACAAGGAGTAGGCAGTGAAAACAATTACATTCAGCAATATCCTAAAAAATCATGATTCAAAAATAATTCAGTGGAAAAAATGCACTGGTGTAGAAGCAGCTTCCATTTGTTTATTTAATTGATTTTAACCTCGAGTCCTCAATCACAGTCAGGGTAAAATACTCTCCCACCATAGGAATAAAAATAGTCCTGGCTGCAATCGTTTGTTGTAGATATGTCACCTTAACAAATTTAACTCTTTTTACTTTGTAAAACTCTTGCTAACCAACAAATGATTCCCCTAAAATCATTCACTAATGTTTCCTGAGTGGTTTCTGCAAAATAAGGACATACTATTCATCATTTTACCCAATCAGGAAGGATTGGGTCTGTTCCCTAACCAGATGATTTCTGAAATGAAAATCTAACGACAAAGAAAATGTTTTCCCCATCATAAATTTACAGTGGAATGATTTAGGAAATGCTTTTCTGAAACCATTTGTGAAACTGCTGAAGTTTCTGATAATCTCTGGGGAAAAAGAACAAAAAAACTAAACCACACAGCACAATAATTATCAGTAAACACTGATATGTGATTTTAAGTGGTATCAAGTCACTGTTCTTTCACCTGAAAATAAGCTCCAGACACAAATTCATCTATCCTTTGGATGCCAACTCCAGACATTCATTAGGTAAACCACTGCAAGCCATGCTTTTCTTTTACAACCAGAGCAGCACATATTCTGCTGCTTCCCTCACTGTCTAATGCCATAAAGCTATCTCTGAAGTACTGCCTCCAGAAATTGAACACAGCCAATTTTACACAGCACTGAGGAACACAACACCTGAGGAGTAGAAGCCTCTCAGCTATGAAGGCTATCACCCTGCAAACATGACTCTCCTCCTATAACTCATTTGACAAAGTAATTCCAGCTTCAGAAACACACTTCTCATCACTGTGATCATTTAGAAGCCACTCAACATGTATGCTGTTTTTTTGTTTCATCTTACCACCACATTTGTTATTCTTGCAAGTATCTCTAAATCACTAGATGTCTTTATATGTGATTTTCCTTAAGGAATTAAAAAAAAATAAATGAGGGACTTATCAACAGAATGTTGGTAGCAGGGGTAACTTGCCTTATGCCATAGTATTCCACGTGGTTTTGGTCGTTTGCAATTAGTCTTGATAGTTCTTGTTGGTGTGAGTATGTAATCGACAGTTAAATCGTGGTCACCAAGGAGCTCTTCTGCTATGTCAACTACCTACAGGAAACAAGAGGTTTGTTAAAACCAGATCTGATAAAACTACACACAATCCTGCTGTCTTTCAACATACAAAATCTGTTAGTGACAGCGGAAACAGAGTGCAAGTGCTACACCTAAATAATTCCAAATCTCACTTCCACCATTCACAGAATGGCCAGGTTGGAAGGGACCTCAAGGATCATGAATCTCCAACCTCCCCATTTAACACTAGACCAGGTTGCCCACAGTTCCAATCTGTCATTTAAGAGTGGATATTTTAGCTTACCTGGCAGTCATGCACAATAGTAATTACAGGTGTGTCCTCTGTCACTGCTCCCATTGACACCATCATTGCATATTCCATGTCTGCATAACCTTCTCCTTTTCCAATTCTCCAACCTAAAGTGCACGAAGCAGAAGGTGTGAGCAACCAAAACATCACAGTTTCTAATTTTACTGGAGGCCAAAATAGTGGCCTGCATGCTCTAAACCACGCTGCTGCCCGTTAACATTGACTCTGTGTGACAAATCCCTGAACCCAATCCAACCAGGAAGAAAAAGACAGAACTCAAGACCACAATTAACATCCAGTGAGATTTTTGGGTCCACCAGAAAGTAGATATAGCCTGCTGACATTGTGAATCTCACAACCTCCTCCTGCAGAACTTACAGGACTTTATCTTACCTTTTTCAGAGACAGCCACTGATCCTACAACAACCAAGTCCACTCGTGCTTTCCCATCGAGACCTACAGGCACACTGTACTCTTTTATGCCCTGCAAGAAAAAGATAATTTTAGGTTCACAGAGTGCAGACTTCTAGCCAGGGAGGCTGAAAGCAGGAACATGTTGATAAATGCAAGTAACTACCCATGTTCCAAAGTGTTTCTTCCATGTATAGCCAAGTTGCAGATGGCTGGAAAGCTACCCTCTAGGGAATCCTAGAATACATTTTCTACTACAGTGAGAAGCATTTTGGCACGCTTCAGGGAGAGTCAAAAGAGGTGAGCTCTTTTCTAAGCAAGGTTACTTATTTAGGATCAAAAGCTGGTGTCTGAAACCCTCGATTCAGCAGCTGTTTCTGAAAATGAGGGCAAATGAAACTTCTTACCCTACTACAACTAACTGGAAGTCACAATACATAAATTTATGTCCATGAGCAGCATCAGAGCACTGCAACTTCTTAAAATAGCTCTCATGTACAAGTCACAGGTTAATTTAGACAGACAGACACAGCCTCAAGATGTTAAATTGTACCTAAAATTTACTGAAGCACAACCAAGTGCAGATGCTCTCCATTTCACACTATATATGCTGCACTGCTAATTTCTCCAGACCCAAATCTTTAGAAGCACATTCCAAATCTCCCAACATGTTTCCTGAGAATGCATTCCTCAACACTTTGCTGTGTGATCAATATTTAGAATGCACCACTGTCAAGCTATCCTTACCAACAATTTCCTAACTAAAACACTATCAGTGAGCAGAAAAATATATTCCTAACAAGTGAGAAGAAAAACCTTCATAGAATCATAGAATTATTTGAGTTGGAAAGGACCTTTAGTTGAACCTTACACAATCCTATCATCCTTTTTTAAACTCTCCTTGCCCCCTCAATCCCTTCAGGCTCCTCTGTAAAGGAGACATCCTAATAAAACCGTGTCTAGAGTCACATAAATGAAAGACAGTGTTGTACTTCAGCTTTCACACACGAGCTACATAACACCAACCCTCCTCAGACCAACTCAACCTTGTACTAAGCTAATCCTTACAGTAAAGAGCCAAACATTTTCAGCGTGGATCGTTTAAATCATTTAGGTTTAAAGGATGGGCAATGTTGCCATGATAATCAGTAATAACGTTCATTGCCCACTTCACAGCAGTGTGGTAAGAACTGTTTGCAGTGTGCTTTGTAAATATGAACTGTTAATAGCTTTTATTCATACTGGGGAAAAAAAAACACACTCATGGAGGTAAGATTATAGCTCAGATACCAGGCCTGAAACAACAGAAAGGTCTCTTTCAAAAGTGCTCTTCAACACTGAAAAGCTTAAGTAGTTAATGACTTTAATAGACCTTCCAACAAAGAAAGTTGCTACTAATTACCATTCATTTACAACCCTCCATTGTACACAGGATTACTCTAGAACTGCTGTTAGCAGGAGATAAACTGCAAACTGTTACATTTTCACATCAAATAACTACGCATACAAAACAACAGAGGTTTCTCTGCCAAATGACTTCAGCCGTACAGTACGACATTTTAACAGCAGAGGGCAGCAACATACTGCATTTCAAAGAAAACTGTTTTGTACTTCATTATTTTTGTACTTCATAGAATCATAGAACGGCCTGGGTTGCAAAGGAGCACAGTGCTCATCCAGTTCCAACCCCCTGCTGTGTGCAGGGTCACCAACCAGCAGACCAGGCTGCCCGGAGCCACATCCAGCCTGGCCTTGAATGCCTGCAGGGATGGGGCATCCACAGCCTCCTTGGGCAACCTGTGCCAGCGTGTCACAGCTCTCTGTATGAAAAACTTCCTCCTAATATCCAGCCTAAACCTCCCCTATCTCAGTTTAAAACCATTCCCCCTTGTCCTTCAGTTGAGGCAAAACACAGAACTAACAGTTCTTTACACTTCAGACTGAAAAAGAATTGATCTCTCATACTTATAACTCTGAATATTTTAATCAACCAGATCAGGTAAAAACTAGAAAAACTAAAACATTCCTTGTAGAGTTTACTAACTCAAAACTGCCAAAAAAAATCATAGATGGTGGATGCACCACAAAACCAGAAACAAGATATCAGTTGAACAACAGTTCAGGTAGCATCTGGTATTCCAATTTCTAGTTGGACCACTGTAACACAGCACTTTTCCAGATGTTAACTCAGACTTGGCCTACATTGTGTTCCTACCTGAGATGTAGCACATATCCGCAGTGTTTCCTTAGCTGCACCTGGAGGTGGAACAATCTTATTGAACAGCCCACTCCTCAGACGTGGTGTCGGAACCAACAGAGTTTTCCTTGCCTGTGGAACAAAAGGAGTTACCACCTTAAAAAGAACTGGGTCCCTTTTACACCAACGAAACGTTGCTACTCTCCCATAAACTTCTATGTGGCCAATTGTCTCATTTGCTCTGAGCAGTTAGCATTGGTGACCACGTAGTGGTTGTGGATGAATCCTTTTCACTACAGCAAAATTTCAGACATGGTTTTATTTAAAAAAAATAAAGGTGGGAACATAGTTTTAGTCTAAAGCACACGTTCATAGATATGTTACTCATACTAAGAAGCTAGTGAATACACACATCTGATGCACATCTGTCCCTGTGATAGATCTAAGCCAATCTGCAGCAAGGCTAACCTGATGTGTTTTTAGGAATTAGAACACAAAGACGAGGAAACAGCTCCACAAAAACATTCTAATTTACCAAAACAACATGTGCACCTTGGTCAGCTGCCAAAAAGGCAAAGATATGCTTTAACGAGCAGCCTCGTGAAGCTGAGGATGGGTAAAACTCCTGCAGGAAAACTGGGAGGAGTTGACCAAGAGGTGCTGCCAAGCACTGCACTGTTGCCCTGCTCTCCTTCTCAAGGGCACAAAAGTGCTGTTACCTGCAGCGCAGCTAGCCGAACGCCTTCCAAAGGTTTGTCTGGGTCCACTTTGATTTCACTTGCTCTGTTGAACAAATCAAGCTCTTTAATAGAGCAGCAAGCCTGATGAGACCCCTGTATGAAGACAGGAATCAAAAGAAAAGAGAATGCATTCACTTACTTCCAGCGTTAGAAAGCGAGCATTCTTCTGGGGAGCATCAGGGTTTACTTTTACAGTACTGGCAGCTTTGAACTCCTCTAAACCCAGAAGCCTTGTCGCAGCATGAGGGGCACCCTGTTTTCATAAGATATCAGCACATCACCAAGAAGCTCAAAGCAGAGAGGGGAAATTTTTACTCTTCCATACAGAGGCTGATTTTAAATATAAGGGACATGCTGCTCCCTTTGTGACACTTTCTGTGAGAATACCAAATGTCAACAGAAGCTGAGGACTTGACTAATACGTTGCAGGCTGCTGCCAAAAAATGGGATCTGGGTACTCCCTCTGTCTAACTTTGCCCCCATTCATACCTGTCTCAAAGCTGGAGTGTAGCTGTCCAAATTTCTTTAAAGAGAAGCCACAGGCTGTTTCTGAATGAACAACTTTCTGGACAAGGCTCTCTTTACTATATTAAACTCATAAAATTAAGTTTTTAATCACATGAGCTGCTAGAACTTGCAAAGCATGCACTCTCCCCACTGAGTGTTTTTACATCTGATTTCTTCTTGTTTTGAAGAGCAATAGAGGCTCCCTCCACCTACTTCAGCACCCATTCTAACACGGTGCTTCTCTACACCTTGATCAGCTTGGGTGTTTTTTTTTTCTACCTTAAGTCTATTTTGCTCTTTCAGCAAAAGGGAAGCTAATGCCCCAGTGCTGCTCATGGGCCAAAATACCTAGCACACAGCCCCACGGTGCTAGTTTGATCAGCATTTCTTGACTATACAGCAGACACAAGGGTTTTGAGCCCACATCAGCATGCTCTATCCTCCCAGGAAAAACCCTGGAACACACACAACCTCAGCTTTCATAATGTGATTTGAGTTGCAAGGTACCTTTATAGGTCACCATAGCTCAACTCCTCTGCAATGAACAAGGACACCTACAGCTAAATGAATGTCTCCAGGGATGGGGAATCCATCACCTCTGAGCTACCTGCTGCAGTGCTTCATTATCATTATTGTAAAAAAGATTTTCCTATACCCAGTCTAAAACTCAGCTCTTTTAGCCTGAAGCTTCACCCCTGTGCTGTGACTACAGATCCTGTGCTAACGAGCCTGTCCCACTCTTCCTCATAGCCCCCTTTAGCTACACTGCTCTCAGGTGTCCCCAGAGCCCTCTCCTCTCCAGGCTGAACAGCCCCAACTCCCAGCCTGTCCTCATAGTGAAAATGCTCCAACCCTGATATCATTCATGCTCTTCCTCTTGACACAGCTCCACGTCTCTCCCGTACCGAAGACTCCACATCAGGACGCAGTGCTCCGGCTGAGCACAGAGGCAGGATCACCTCCCTCGCCCTGCCGAAGGCCTGGGGGCGTGAAATTCATACACCTTCCCCATTATAAACGCGCTCACCTCACCCAGAAGGCGGCTTTACAGCCCTCTGCCACCCCCTACCGTCGCTCCGCACCCGCGCAGCCCGCAGGTCTGCGCCTGGTGGGACCGCTGCAACGCTGCGAGCCTCCGTACCTTGAAATTAGGGATGCGGTGATGCACGGGCCGTGGGAACTCAGCCAGACCGCTGGCCTCCAGGTAATCCCACACCTTCTCCCGGATGTCCCCCTTGGAGGCACCTGAAGAAGCGCAAAGCTCACGTTGCGAGCGGGCACCTCGCCGCCGAACCCCTCCATGCCTTCCCGCCCCCTCCCTCACGCCCAACTGTCGCCCCCCAGTGACGTCATTAAAGCGCCCCGCCCCTCGGCCCGCGCCCCGCTCACCCGCGCGCAGCCGCACGCCCTCCTGCATGGCGGCGCAGCCGAGGGGCGGTTCCGCCCTTCGCCCCGCTCACTTCCGCTCCAGGATACGGCGGCGTGGAGGGGACAAAAAGGCGCGAAAGCGAAGGGTGGTGATGGAGTTTCAGGGCTTTGAGTGGGGCAGGGCTGGAAGGGAAAGGAAGAATGAGCGCCCCAAGAGGAAGCCCCTGACTCAGCTCCTCCTGCAGCAATAAGCACTATGGTCTACCCTCAACATATAGCCCTGAACCCCCTCAGTTCCAAAGGGGACTGAGGTCAGATTGGGAATTTCTGTGTAAAAAGTGAGGGCGCAGGAAGAACACAGCTTTTCTTGCAATCTGGGGAAAACAAACAACAAGCAAACAAACAAACAAGACACATTTAATAAAATAAAGTCTTTAATCCATGACTATGTCGTTTAACATTATACCTAGCCTCTGTGTGGAACCCCAGGTTTACCCACTCTCACAAAGCATGCTTCTTGCATGCATTGAATGGGACACTAAGTGATTTAATGCCTCAATTTATGATTTACAGAATTAATGCATTCAACCATTAAGTTGTAAAGAAACTGGGGCTTTCCCATTCTGCCTAAGCCCGCAAAGAAAGACTGTGGAGCCCAGGATCTGCAATGGGGTGCATTTGGGAAGAGCCTTTTGCTCCCTCTATGCTCTGCTGGAGAGAGTGGGAATCCATCCAGGCACAACAGACCACCCATGTGCAGCTGGACTTGAGCATTTGAAGCTCATTCCTCCCTTTCCTACTCACGAAAAACTCTGATATTGTGGTGGGGAGTGCAGGATTGGGCATTTGGTGAGCAATTGGCAGCCTCTCTGTAATTCTGCACTGAATTTACACTCCTGCCAGGGCAAGAGGAGGCTCACAGAATGCTGTCTTCCTTCCTGGGAGCTCCTACAGACTTCACACAGGTGCAATGCCACTGTTTCCCCACTGAGATGAGTGTTGGAAGATAATGCCTGCCATTCAGCCCTTCTCATGTCTGTATGCAAGAGTCAACAACGTCTGCCTGCTTGCTGCCACCCCAAATCACTCCCAGGATGGATGTGTTTCAGCTACACTCTCTTTCTTTGAGGAAGGTAAAGCAATGGTGCCGTGGCAATTAATACATTAGCAATCAAGGGGGAGCTGAGACCCTACCAGACCACCTCCATCTCCCTAACATGTCACTTCCTGACATGGTTTTGTCTACCAAACAGACAGGCATGACCTGGCTATACAGAATCCAGGATACTTTGCCCTAGGCTGTGAAATGAATTTGCAGACAGTTGATGTCTTTCTTACCAATTCAGTTCTCTGCTTTGATTCCACGGGTCTGAAACCCTGCGTGCTCCAAATTGCTTTTCCAGTGTCTCTTCTATTCAACACGTGCTTCAGCCTTTCCCATTAGCATTGCACAGATGCCACTGGAAAGTCTCATTTTAGCAGGAATCAGACAGGGCCACCAACATCTTGTGTAAATGGAGTCAGGCTACTGGAGGGGACTGAATCATTTCTAATAACCATTTTACCAAACCGACAAAATGTTGCTTCTGCCTGCAGAGCTCACAGTTTGTGAAACCACCTAGAAAAAAGGGAGTGCCTGAGTAACGCAGGCCAGGAGAACAAACCCCAGGGTGCACTGTGGACAGTGCAGAAAGAAACTCCTTGTGCTGTGGCCATCAGTGCCCTGCAGAGCAGGCTGACACGTAAGGGCAGCCACAAAAAACAGACAAAATGCACTCGAAGGTGAACGCTGACCTACACAGAGGGTAGTGCTTGATTTTCAATACTGAAAGTTAAAAATCGGCTGCAAATTATAAAGGCAGCTTGTTTTTACAATATATTCATTGTTGCGGGTTATTAACTGGGCCAAATCTTTCTGAATACTGTGAAATGTGTTTCCATGTGTGGCTAAACAGTCTGCGATTGGATTTTTTGTGTATGTTAAGCAACCCTGAAAAAGAAGCATACTAAGGCTGGTGGGACTAGCCCTATCTAGACCATCTGAGCCCAGCAACTCATCTGCTGCTGTGGAAAGGTGCAGGGTTTGTGTCAGTCCCTTCCCTTCCCTTCCCTTCCCTTCCCTTCCCTTCCCTTCCCTTCCCTTCCCTTCCCTTCCCTTCCCTTCCCTTCCCTTCCCTTCCCTTCCCTTCCCTTCCCTTCCCTTCCCTTCCCTTCCCTTCCCTTCCCTTCCCTTCCCTTCCCTTCCCTTCCCTTCCCTTCCCTTCCCTTCCCTTCCTTCCCTTCCCTTCCCTTCCCTTCCCTTCCCTTCCCTTACCTTACCTTACCTTACCTTCCTCCCTCTCCTTCCCTCTGTTAGTGTCACACATTTATCTCTTCCTTCTTCCCTTCCTTCTTTCCTTCATTCCATCTTTCCCTACTATCCTCTTTTTTCTATTCCATTCCTTCTTTTCTTCTTTCATTTTTTATTTTCCTTCTTCCTTTTTTCTTTTTTCCTCCTTTAATCCTTTCCTTCTTTCTTTCTTCTTCTCATTTCCTTCCTTCCTTCCTTCCTTCCTTCCTTCCTTCCTTCCTTCCTTCCTTCCTTCCTTCCTTCCTTCCTTCCTTCCTTCCTTCCTTCCTTCCTTCCTTCCTTCCTTCCTTCCTTCCTTCCTTCCTTCCTTCCTTTCCTTCTTTTGTTCTTTTTTCTTCTTCCCTTCTCCTTCTTTCCCTCTTCCTTTTTCCCTCTCTCCTCTCTGCCACTGCCCCACAGATCTCATTCCCCAGTCTCTATTTCACACCTCCTCAGCTCTTTCTCTCTCCCTCTGCCCTCTCCCTCTTTATCCTTCTCCCTCTATTTCTTCATTTCTCCCTTTCCTTCCTATCCCTCTTCTTTCCTCTTCTCCTTTCTCCCTTTTTCTCACCCTCCACCTCCTCTCCCGATGCCGGTGCGGCGGTGCAAAGCCCTCGTTGCCCCCTGGAGGGCAGCACACGCCGCTCAGTGCTCCAACCGGGCAGGTGAGCGCCGGGAGCGGAGCGGGGATCGGCGGCACCGAGCAGCAGAACCGGGCAGAGCCCGGAGCGAGGAACCGGGCTGGGAAAAGCCCCGGGGGATGAAAGATCTGAGAGCTGCGTCTCTCGGCTCCTCGAGAAAGAAAATCAAAGCAGCGAAAGGAAAACGGCCGCCGCCCCGTCGGTGGTGGGGAAATTCGGGCAAACGGCGCTCCCGAAGTCCCGGAGGAAAGGGGAGAGAAAGCCGCCGTGTTTGGGAATAGGGAGCGTTTGCCCCGATCTTGGGGCTCTGCTGTCCCCGAGGATTCCTCTGCCTGCACTCCTCCGTTTCGTACGCGTTATTTTTCAGTTTGACGAGTCGGTTTTATTTGTTCTCCAGTTGAAGTTCTGGGGCTTTGCTTTTTTTTTAGGTTCTGTACGCAACACGCAAAGTCCTCTCTCTGCTTCTTGATTGCTTTGTTTTTCTCTATAGAAATTCGTCTCGGTAATGTTTTCAGCTGAGGAGAGGTAAGATTCAACGAGGGTTATTTCTCGAGACGTCCCAAGCTTTTAGGAAAGGACAGCTCTGGCAAATCTCAGGGGCTGCATGGCTCAGCTTCATGCACTTAAAAATTCCTGGCTTTCAATGTATACATAAATACAATTTTACAAATAAATCCCCTCTGCTTAGAAAACAACGTGGGTTTAGTGATTCTGTTTGAAAGACGATTTATTTGAAAGCAGAATGTGAAACCAGTTGTGAAAAAAAAGGGGGGAGTCGTTCTCGAATTATTCCAGAATAATAAATAATAATAATATAAAGAAAGCAACCTCGGTGGCCGTAGATTTCCATGAAACGCATCATCAGACCTAGCAGAATTCACTCTTTATTTCCACCAACGATTCTCCTGGACGCTGACACCGACGACGAATCCCTCCGAGAACTTTTCCATTGATCTCCGTCAAAATTCAATAGCGATTTGGAGACGTCTGGAGAAACTTCGCAATCGGTTTTCCACCGCAGATCATTTGTGGCTGTACCTCCTCGCGGAGGAGCTGCCTCTTATTATTTTTTTTCCTGCCTATCGCATATATATATATATATATATACATATATATGTAAAGTAGAATCGTTTCCTTTCCTATGAAGAAAATCGCCGGCAATTCCCGGCCCCGCCGGGTTCCCACGGCCGCAACCAGCTGCGGTCCGCGGCTGCGAGCAGAGAAAGGGGGCATTTCGACCACAAAATCCCTATCGGAATTTGGGCAAAATAGTTTTGTTGAAAGCCTGACGGTGCCCCACAAATTGCAAGGAGGGAAGGGAGAAATTACAGTGCGAGAAACCAAAAAATCGCGGCTTAGGAATCAGGCGGGGAGCAGCCTGGCTGGGGAAAGAAACCCCGCCGAGGTGACAGCTCATTCCTTATCTGCTCCCTTCGGGCTCCAATCGATTTTGCAGTAAGAATGAATGGGTTTTGGGTTTTTTTTGTTTTTGTTTTTTGTTTTTTTGTTTTTTTTTCGGGGGGGGGGGGGGGGGGGGAGGGGGGGGTTGGAAATCACTGCTTCTCACTTAGATTTCTTGCCGGACGGAGCCGCTCAACCCTCGGGCAGCGCAGAGCGCATCGCCGCAGCTCTCCCGAATAGCCGACTTTACACATGGCCACCTCGCGTCCCTAATTGTCCCGCTCTGATTGCCTCTAATGAAATCATTAGAGAAAGGCAGAGGGGCGGATTTCACAGCCACGAGGAAAAAAAAAAAAAAAAAAAAGCCAACAAAAAAAAAAAAACAAAAAAAAACACACACACACACAAAAATTCCTCAATGGCCGGAGTGGAAAGGAGAAAGAGGGAAATAAAAGCCACCTAAGCGCATTGCATTGGAAAGAAAGGAGAAGGAGAAGGAGAAGGAGAAGGAGAAGGAGAAGGAGAAGGAGAAGGAGAAGGAGAAGGAGAAGGAGAAGGAGAGGAAAGGAGAGGAAAGGAGAGGAAAGGAGAGGAGAGGAAAGGAAAGGAAAGGAAAGGAAAGGAAAGGAAAGGAAAGGAAAGGAAAGGAAAGGAAAGGAAAGGAAAGGAAAGGAAAGGAAAGGAAAGGAAAGGAAAGGAAAGGAAAGGAAAGGAAAGGAAAGGAAAGGAAAGGAAAGGAAAGGAA